TGCCTGAGGGCTGTTGGCATCAGTGTTTAGATCTTTTAAATGCTGGTCTCACAGTGGTGTGCAGGTGCAGGGTCTGAGAACCAAGGTGACCAACAGTGCAAATAATAATATATTTAAAAAGTTCTTTCATAAAGTTTTGATGAAAGAATAAATGTGCCAAATCTCTCAATGAATATAAACCTACCTTTGTTATAAACTATTGAGGTTTTTTTTTTTTTTTTGGTTTGGTTTGGTTTGGTTTGGTTTTTTTGTTTTTTGCATCAATTCAGTAGGATAGATTAGCTGATTTCCATAATGGAAAAGAGGAATTGTCTGTTCACATTATTCTTGTTCTCTTTGTACTCCATGTGTTCTCATAACATCATAAATTTAGGAAAGAAAACGTAGATGACTTAAAAATAAAAAAATAAAGAATGTCACAAAACTTTTTAGTAATTTGTTGGTCAGTTTTCTAAAGTTGGAAGGGGAAAGATAATTTGGAATGTGTGGTGATGGGGTGGAAATGTCTGCTGACGAAAACCAGAGGTCTGAAGGGTGTTGGTTCTTTTGCAGCCCATTGTAATATTGCTTTTGCACACTTTTTCTCTCTTCCTCTGGTTCTGGTAGCTCTTTTTTATTTCTTTAGTTAGGGACACCTAGACCACTCTTTTACCACAATAAAAAAAAAAAAAAACCAGTGCAAAAAAAGAGTTGGATGTGTTTTTGCAATATTTTTTCTGATGCTCTCAGTTCTTCATTAGTTTTCCCCTTGGTAAAGCTCTGAAGTTGTTAAACATTGTCTGTCTGGTTGCATTGCTAAATTTCCCTTGGAAATGATTGTCTGGTCTCCCCTTGAAGCCATTTCTTGTATCAAAAATAACCTTTGGCAAGGAGTTTCCCAGATTTACAGCTCAGCACAGCAGGGCTGAAATCCATGTTGTTGCAATTGGCCTCAATCTATTGAGTTTAGTGGAAAGACACCATTTTACTAAAGCAAAATATAATCTGTTACAGCAACAATGTGAGTTTCATCAGACTTATATACCCATTATATGAAGTCATCCATTTTAATGTTAAATTTTGTTAATTATAAATTAAATAGCTGCTGACTGTAAATAGGAAAACATGCTGAAATAAAATGAATTTGATACAATATTTAAGACAATGCTTTATTGATTGATAGTCTTTCAAAATTTCATGTGATTTTTGTTACAGCATTACTGAGTTTTAGGGACTTGGTGCTTGTCTAAAAAATATGTGTATATACAGTCTGGATATTTAGGGTGTGTGCTCCTTTTTTCTTTCTCTCTGTGATGGTTCCTTTTCCTTCCTCTTTACTTGGGAGGAATTGAGGGTAGTGCTGAATGCACTGTGCTGACTATAACAGAATCTCAGAGGTGCTTATTGAAAGTACACTGGGTTTATTTCCAGTCAAGTGTAACATCAAATGTATAGAGCTCCTTCAGCCTTCCCACTCAAGTAATTTTGCCATTGTTATTTCTTCATCATTCCCATCAAAGGCCCGAATTTCTCCCCCCTAATGTCTGTGCAGTTTGTCCTTTGATTTCAAAGGAAGCACACCCATGGTTTTGGAGGTGAATGTTTCATCCAAGGACAGGGAAGGCTTTTGTGCAGGCTCTGCATATTGCTCACTTAGATGGCTAAGGTGTGCATTTTCCAGCTTGGCTCAATGAGGGAAAAATTTATGTGCTTCACTTATTTTTTTTAAATAATAATTTTTTACTGGGATGGTGCAAACAGGACTGTGTGCTGTCATATAATTTCATATGACACTACACAGCTGTGTGGTGTCATATTCATATTATATGAATATATTTCAAATATTCATATAGATCATTATTTTATGAATACATGGGGAAGATCAGAGTTCTTGGTCTGTCACAAGCTTTCTTAGGCAAATCCATAAATTTTCAAGTGTCTCATTTACATTGCTTGCAAAAATTGAGTTTAGCTGTTTGTTCGTTTCAATTGCAAATAGGTCAGGGGCTGCCTGATGCAAATTTTTGTCTATGAAATGTTCTGTGATACCACTGCATTTTTTGCTGAAAGTGTTTGTTTCTACTAGAATGCAAACATTAATTTATATTTTAAATTACATGTGTTTAAATCCTTCAACATGAGGATGTAGGACAGTTCACAAATGCAATAATCTGTGACTTATCCATGCCTTGATTAATTTTAATTGTAGCTATTTCTTAATTTTGAGTTCTCTCACAATTAAGATAAATTTTGCTTCTAATGAAGACACAACTGCTCAGCTAAAATGGGATTATGGTAATTATTAGAGTTGCAAAGAAATTTGTTTCATAAGCTCTTAGAAGGGTTAGTTATCTGACCAAAAACAAGATCAATGTAGTTGGTGTTAATTAAAGCAAATAGACTAAGGAATAAAAAAAGATTGAATTCTGAATTTATGAATATCATTAAAAGCTGACATGGTTAGTTTGACTTGCATTTTGTGCATTGTTGGGAGAAGAAAAAGTGTTTGCATTCATAAGGCAAGTAGATATAAGAAATGACCTTCAACTTTGTAAAATCTTTAAAAGGAAACTGTTTCAAGGGAATAAATGTGGCTAAGCCTCTAATACAGGCCTTTGGCAAACCAGAAATGGTTAGTAATTAGCTCTACTGCATTGGGTTAATTAATAAAAGGTAGTTTAAACTAAGCAAAGATCATATTTGTCCATTACACTGATGATGTAAGTTATGCTAATAACAGTACTATTCTTTTCGTCTCTCCAAAGAGCTCCATTAACATCATATGTTTCTTCTCACAGCCTCCCTGTGATGTGAATAGAACTGCTGCTGTACAGGTGGCATTAAGGAATGTTTATCACTAAATAGCAAGTGCAGTTGAAGGCAGTGTGCTGAGGGCAAGGGCAGGCACCTCCAAAGTACAAATATGAGTAAATGTGCTCCCACGGGTGAAATTCACATGTACCACCACAGAGCTGTTGTACCCCTGTGCTTTGCCTCTGGGATGGAGCTGCTGGTTCAGGTGGCTGGCAGGGTCCTGCAGGGCACCCCACACAGTCCTGTTTGCACTATCCCAGAGGGCTGCTCCTGTTCTCTTCAGCATCAACCCATAGCTTTAAGTCTTATTTCAGTATTGCCAGGCATAGAGGTGATGGCAGAGGGGCTGGCTGGGCTCTCATTTTACCAGCAGGCTGTTGGACTGATAGGTGATTGCCCATCATACCATTAAAAGACAAAATCTCATCCCTTCTCAGAATTCCTGCCTTACAAAGGCAGGGCAGACACAGAGGTTTTGGCCTTTCCCTTTGTTTCATTTTTGTTTCAGAAACAAGACATTCTCCTACAGCAGTGAAGTTTTCCGAGAGAGCTAGAAAACTAGGAATGTAATTCTCATCCTCTGTCCTCTTTTTTATTTGAGCTCAATGATTAATAGAATATGACAATGATTTTTATAAGAGCAATATATCTTAGAAATGTTTTAAAAGATGTTGCAGATATAAATAACATACTTTCTTCTTGAATTCCTTATTTCTCACATATTTGAATAATAAGTAATTACTGCAGTAATTGAGCAAGCATTAATAAAAATAATCCTTCATGTTAATATTTTTATATGACCTTTATAATCCTATGTATAATAGTATAAATAGTGATCAAGTGGAGCTGTGTTCTGGAATGAATCTTAGACCAACTGATAGAGATGAATAGATGTAAGTTTGTATGAATGAGCAGGGAGCATATTGAGGACAAGAGATTCTTCTGACAGGCCTCTGGGCAGATGAACAGCTTCCTTTGGCTTGTCAAGGTTTGGCAGCTCCAAACAGCCTTGGACTCAAGTAAATGGATGAAAACTTGGCTGATGAGGCTCAGAAGGCTGGTGAAGATGGCTGTTAGTGACATGCAGGTTTTCTGCTTGCTTGTGTGGAATGGGTTTTAATTGTAGGTAATTAGAAGAAACAGATTGAAAGCCACTGCTAAGGGCAATATACCTACTTGAATGCAAAAAAGCTTCCTAAGGGTAAGATGAACTGCAATAAAACCACATCTTCAGCTAGAAAAAATCAAGGTAGCATCAGTGATTTCACACTAACACCCAGGAAAGATCTGGGCACTGAAAGAGTTTTGAAGCTCAAATTACAAGCAAAGCAAATCCTAATGGAGTTCTGTAGTGTAAAGGATAAATTGATTGCCTGTTTCCTCTCCACCCACCCAACACAATTGAATCAGCAGTATAAACAAGTTACTTATTTTTTAAAAGTCAGACATACTGTGTAAAACAGATTAATATACAGTAAGAGGGAAAAAAATGAAAAAAAGACAAATAAGAGAACAATCTGTTCCCATTTAAGCTGGTGTAACTCCATTGCACTGCCTACGTTTATACCAGGGGAGTTCAGATCAGCATTCACTTTTTGTCCTGGAGATTGAATTTATCTCCCACAGCTTTTATTTCTGTTCATTTCCTGAGCTGCATGCTGTTGTGCCTCTTTTCTTCTTTTAATAATTTGTTTCACAATAACACTTAAGAGGCACACCAACTAAAATGAGGAAGAGAGTACAGAACTCATAATTGAAGCATATTTTTCTCTCACTTTAGAGATTTGCATGCTGTTAGTGTTACCACAAAAGTAACTTAGCCTAATTTTGATAACAGTGGTGCCTGTTCAATCAGAAAACATGGGATCCTCCTTTGGAACTAGATTTCAATACCATTTTCACCTGCTACTTGTCTTGCTCTATGCTCAGCAAGTTCATGACACTTTATTTGCTAATAAGCAGTAAGTTTTTATTTACAGTGATCTTTACCTATCTTCTGATAGCTTAAATGTTCTTTTCTTCAGTGCTTGGATGTGAATCACAGAAAAATAAATAATTCTTTCATTACACAGTGATTTCAGCCCTAGGAAACTCTTGCCTGAATGAGGAGTTGAGACAATTCTGTTGGTTTTAATTTTTTTCCTGCAGCACATTATTTTTGCGGAAATATTTATAATTAATTACATTTTTTTTATGTCTCCATTTAGATGTTTACCCGACTACTGTGAACATGGAGGAAAATGCTCTCAGTCCTGGAGCACCTTTTACTGTGACTGTAACAATACAGGCTACATGGGAGCCACCTGTCACAACTGTAAGTAAACCCACCTGCACTTTTCATTTGTATTACATCCTCATTGTAATCATAGTGGCCATCAGACGTTTAGTAGAATTTAGCTGGGCTGAGCTGGCTGATTTTAACCTGTGTTTGGTTCTTCAATTCAGTTTTAACACCCTGGACTTTGTTTTTAGATCATATGAAAGTCCATGTAGCAAGAACCCAGTTTCCCACATTTTATGATTTTGAAATTTTGCTGAACTATTTTTGGGCTGCTACTATTAACAGGAATAGAGAAACATTCAGCTACTGAAATCCACAGCAAAAGGAATATTAAGGGGTTTTAAAGGTTAAAACACCCCCATCAAACAGAAGAGGCACAAAATGCTGCAAATTCTGGTAAAAAATAGAGAAAGGAAAAGCCACAATAAAGCCACTGCATACAGCTGACTAAAAGGAAAAACAGAAAATGAAGGTAAATTTCCAGTTCTAACAAAGGAAATAGAGAAAAAAAAAATTGTGAATAAGAATAACAATTCCAGGAATACAACCGTAACCACTCTGGATGCTTGATGAGCACTTGGACCGCAGATAGGATGACATTGGTGAGATGGATTTTTTTTTCCCCCGTTTAACTAAAAAGCCAAAGAGAAGAAAAGGTACTTAGTGGTTTGAAGCTGAGAATATTGGCAACCATACTGTCATTTTGGAGACTTTAATGGTTTGGTAGTTAGCAGTGAATGCATTTGTGGAGTGTGCAGCTGACAAGAGATTCTGCTGAGAGATCTGTTCATAGATTTGTCACCTGAACTCTACATTGTGAACACAAAAGAAGCCAAGGGTTTTGTGTGGAAATCATGCCAAGCCAGATGAAGAGAGGGAAGAAAAAGGCTGACTTTATAGTTTTAAAAAGAGGGCTTACTTTCTGTCCATTGCTTTTCTTGTTCCAAAAGACATCACAACTCTTCAAAACACCTTTAAAGCCACAGCAGAGTATCTGTACCAGTGATGACTGGTGCAGAACTAGGTGGCCAAGTCAGGTGGTGAAAAGGAAGGGGCTCCTTGGGGAAGGAGGAGAACTGTCACTATTGACTGTCAGAGGTGATTAGGGACACTCAGCTCTGGGCTACATCTGTGCTGTCACATCAGCTTGGGGCCTGAGGCTCACTATGTCTGTGCCAGCTCAGTGTGGCTTCTGTCCAGAGGAGACCATCTCATACCACAGAGAGCTGGTTCATGACTATTTTTCCCCACAGAGACTTCCATGGAGCTAGTGAAGCCTCCTGCTTCTGTCAGCTCATGTCTGCCCTTCAAAGACACATAGCTGCAGTTCTTTAAGGTTCAGTGACGTGAAACTACTCTGAAAAGTTTCTCAAGAAGCTCTTGTGTTGAGCTGTGCACAGGTGTGATGTACAGCTATTCAGCTGCTCAGCTTATTTACAACTGATTTATCAACAGCTAATTTGATTCCAGCTAGATTGTGGAGCCAGCTGCCCTGTGAGCCAAGCAGTGCTGATAAACAGCAACATTAGTCTGGAGAAATGCATTCATTATTTGAAATATGCAATGAAACCAGCTCAAAGCTAGCGGGCAAACACAGACTGGTGATACAAAACTTGCAGAACAAGAGATGTTATCACTTTGAGCTGATAGTGGGTGATGTGCAGGAGTACCTTTTAGCAGGTGAATGAAATGCACAGATTTGATCATAGCATAACTCCAGAATATCCTCAATGTATAGGAAACTCTCCAATCATATAATTCAGTGTAGTTCTATCAAAGTAAAACATCTAATTTCATATGGTTTGAAATATTACCTCAAGAATTTTTATTTTTCTAGAACACTGATGCTGACAGGCCTGAAATTGAACTTATATCACTTTGGAGAGGCTATTTCTTTTATTAAACTGCCCTTCAGACCCAAGTCCATGCAGCAGCAAGGGAAAGATTTAGCTGGCAATCTGCTGCTAGCAAAACTGAGAATTGTTTCAGTGTTGCCTGGATTTCTTTTTGGTCTGAGTTACATCACCATAGATTTTACCTCATTTTGGTATGGTAAAACATGGGTGCCACTGGTTGAAAAGAATAAAAAACCCATTCTTTGTTGTGCTTTTAGGAAGAACCACATGGCATGCATATTCAAGCCAGATTTAATTAGTTTGTGTCTTACCACCTCAGACTGGGAGATCTTACCATTTTAAGAACTGAGATCTTGAGAGAAATGGTCCCTAACTTGCTGTCATCAAATATGAAGTATTGTAATACATTTTATGGTTAGTATATAAGCAGTCCTATTTTTAGCTCCAAATATTTACAGACCTCACTGGATCCTGCTGTGAACAACAGCTAACAATACACACTATCTCTTCTCCAAAGAGTGTGCAGTTAAGTTTCTGAGGGTATAAAACGTGCTGGCACAGGTGATGGAATGCTAGAAAGGCTTCATCAGCATTACAGGTGGCAGTTTCAGTCTGCCAAGTGCATAATTATTTCTAGGCTTTCTTATAGCAAAATAGTCATAAAGTAGAGATTTAAAAGAGGAAAAAATTGAGTGCTTAGGGAAATTGGAGAAAGCAATAATGTGCTTGTGTGAAAAATATAAGGCCATGGCCAGAGGAGTTTGACATTTTTGACAAGGCAAATGTCAGAGTCATGACAGGTAAAGAGGGTGGAAATGTGTCATGGAAAGCAAAGATAAATAGTTTGCATTTGATGCAACATAAGGGAATTAGAGAGTGTCAGAAAAGAACAGTAAGTTGATAGAAGACGCAGCTGGGACAGTGTTTGCAAGACCATGTCAGATATGTGGGACAAAATTGTGTCTGGCATGTCTGAAAATGTGTATTTGAAATTCAGGAAGTGTGTATGAAGCGAAAGCATCTGAAGATACATGGAAATAACTGTCTGGCTCTAGACATGGCTTTAATATAATCTTACCACACGCAGCTACTTGCCTGCAAACCTCAGGTATCCTCCTGTTTACTCGAAACGCCTTCTGATCCTGAAAGCTTCTAAACTGTCACAGGATGTTTGGCAATCTGCCTGGTCCAGATAAGGGTCCACTACTGAAAAGGGTGTGCTCCTGTCCCATTAAAGCCTTATTTTGTTTCACAGAAGTTTCACTCTGAAGTGTCATCTGGTCCTGCTTCCGTTCTCCTCTTCTCTGAACTTAAATGTAAATGCAAGTAAAGTCTTGCTAAAACCTGTATATGCTTTCTGGGGAAACCAGGAGTCATGGAATGACCCTATAGGATATAAAGCCAACTGTTGGTGATTTACATTTCATTGTGTAAGACTTTTGCTGTGCCTTACTTTCTCCAGCTCTGTTGGAAATAGGATCCAATTTGCAGATATATTAAAAGGTGTGTGATCTATATCGTCTGTTGAAATTGTGTGGGCTCTTTCTTTTGAAACTTACTGCTACTTGAGCTTATCTGTAGCTGAGACAGTGCTTTGAGGATACAATCGTATTTCAATCTCCAAAATGTATGGTTTTGCTTTTTGCTTTATCTTTCCAATGTGTTTCACAAAGCTTGCATTTAGATAGGTTGGAAGAGGAGCTCAGCTGAAGCCTTTTAGGGATAGATACCTTCCCAATTTCTCCAGTGTGGTGGGTAGCCTGCTGATCTGTCAGGCATTGGAGTAATCTGAAAAAATACAGCTAGAGAGGATCCATCACATGTGTGAACCATAGCAAAACAGATAATAATGTAATGTTAATTTTCTCTTTTCCTCCTCTAGATACAAACACTGATGTTAGTACGCAGCTTGGGGAAAAGGCCTGGGTGGGATTCAGCTAATCTATCTTTTGCTGTCTTGGTACTGTGACATCCAAGTTAAGATAGTGGTCTGGCCTCCCTCTATATGTAAAAAGGAATGTGAGCTGCTTTCAGAGCTTAACTTCTTTCACTGTGAGCTGGGGTGTCCATGGGAAGTTCATGGACCACCTCTGAAGTCTGCCATCTGTAGAGAGAGGCTGTCCTAGCTCAGACATAGAGTAGGCAACTGAAGGTAAGTCAGAATTATAGGTGGGAAGAGAGGGGAAACCTAGGTAAGTGAATTACAGATTTAATTTTTATATATTAATATACATATATAAAATTAATATAGGTATTAATTGAAAGTGCATAGTTTAAAAGCTGCATAGTCATTCCTCTAATTTCATTAATTCTCGTAATTATCACGTGATAGTAAGAGCAATAGACCAGTGTAAAATAGCCCTGAGATACAGAATGTTGTAGCTGTATTGCAAGATAATGATTAGTAATCTTATCTTTTCGTGAGCTGTCCTAGTCCCTTAGAAAGCCTCATCTTGCCCTTCTGTACTTCTATTCTTTTTATTGATGATAGCTTTCAGGTAGGTTTTAGTCTTGCACAAATTTTTTAATTCCAAAGAGTGCTGAATGTTGATATAAAAAGATGTTGAGAAATACAAAATAATTATTAAAGTCCTCATCTTTTGGGGTTGTCAGTGTGTCCCAAAGCTTTGCAAGGTGATAATTAACAGAATGGAATTTAATTCTGGGTATTTGCTTTGGTGTGTGATCTATCTCACACATACAGGCATATGTCTTATTGGCCTAGATAATTGCTGGAGGAAAGAGTTATCCAATAATGGAAATGTCATCTAGGCATTGATCTGCCATAAACCTAACATAACTTCAGGCTCTGAAAGTGTATTTTTTAATATTAATATGCTTACTGCATATATCATTTTTTTAATCTGAAAAGCTTAATATAGCTTCAGCCAGATTGTTAACAGTACTGGAGCTGCATCTTAAAGTGCCAGCTGGGAGTTTGGTAATTCTCCTGTGTTCCAAGGTAGGGAGATGTGTACACTTTGCTGGATGGGAAAATGAGGTTTTGAGAGTTTCAGTCTGATAGATGCCTACTAGTGAGTTTGGTAGTGCAATTTGCATGTCCTGAGTAGCCAATTTTCCTGTCTGAGGTTCTTGAGCAGCTTTTTTCTGTCTGTGCTTAAACACGTTGGTTTTCTTTGACTAAAGAAAACACATTTAATATTCATATCAAACCTT